AACATCGACCAGACTACACAGCGCAACAACCCAGAAGACAGAAATCTTCATACTGACCGCTGTGAAAACCTCAAATCTTACAATAACTTAAGATTTATAAACTTTCTAATCACAATGATGTACTGCAGAGATCTGTAGATGGGTATGTATATCTATATACAGCAAATTACTTTATGATGAAGGTACTGATCAAGTTCACTGAACATCCTTTCTTCCACATGGCATGAAATTTAGCAAACAGAATTCTGATTTCTGAAGAAAGTGACTCTCATTTTTGGGAACTTAATACAGCATTCTTCAGTTTTTCTTTTTTCCTTTCTTTCTTATGCTTACATTATGGCACTGTATGCAATGTGATGACATAGTGAGCTTACCAAGATAATCAGTAGTTTTTAAAAAGAAAACAGATGCAACACACCTTTGATATAGATTGCTGGTGAATCTTTCTTAATGGTTTGCGTAATTCCCAATACATGCCATGGATCAACGGAGCCATGAACGGACACAACACGGGTAGCCTGAATGTTTAATGCTCCATAAATTGTATTAGTACGTTTAACTCCTTGCATTACCAGCGTCCCATTATATCTGCACACAAACACACTTGCTCATTATACAGAAATACTGAAATTACAGACAATGAATAATAATAAATTCTTTACACTGCAATTATATCCAGCTCCAGTTACGACTATATGACAAGTGATAATATATGTAAATAAACGCTGTCAATTCAACAATCATCATACCTTGGACCGAAAACATCGGAACACTGTTGGATAAAGAAATCCAGGGGGAAATAGTCTCCAAATACCTGAGCAGTTAAATCTGAAGTCTGGTAGAAGCCAAATTCTGTACATGTTTGGTACACCCACTGCCGACCTGAAAAAGATATCCTTTGCTCAAAATGCACCTCACTTAAGGATTAGTCTTTCTGCGTATTATACTTCTATATTCACAATTCACAATCATGTTCCGAAACCTCAATAGCATGCAAATTTCAAAGAACCTAATTTATGAAGTGTTTGAAGCCTGAATAAAGCTAAAGAAATATTTTAGGGCTCTTTTGGATTCTACACAGTTGTAACAGTTTCTGGATCACATTAACATTCATTTCCTATTTCTCTCCCCTACCATGTTGCACAGTTTTTTATAGTTATTTTATTACATGATCATCCCATAACTGAGGCAGGTTTCCGTTTCACGTCAATTTCATTCTTAGTCGATTCTGTCCGACTCACTATTGAGCTATTTAAATGCAAAGACCACGTACCACTGACTGTTAGTTTTATTGTATACATTAGACAGGGCATGGAAGGAAAGTAGCTGTGGCCTACTTTTAGACATTATCTCAGCATACTGGCATGTCTAGAGGAACTAAAAAAAAACACCCTTCATTAGGGCAGCCTGTCTCCAGGCTAAAATTCAAACCTGGGATCTTCTGCTATACTCAACTGCAATACTTGGATCCGAGTATGTTTTATTGTACTATCTTCAGAAGGGAGGGAAAAAAGCACAACATGACCAAAACACAAAAAGGAAAAATGTCAACAAAATATTAAAATCATGACACCTGATCCCAGGCTTCAACGCAAGATTCAAGTGAATGCTATATGATTAGTTAACACTTTTAAACTGAATCTCAGCTAAATAACACATAATAATTTTGTTTCTACAGAAAATAAACACAACACATCTCCACTAAAAACATCAGGTGGTTAATGCTGTTTAGGAAAATAAATGCTGTTTAATCTAAGATTCATAAGGAACAAATAATTACACCCTGTCAAAAATATGCAGTTACTGATTATTAAAGTATATGGTTTTTATAGTAACCACTGAGCTTTAAAGGGTTAACTCATTCACATGCAAGGAATGAATTTATTCTAAAGCATCAGAACATCATTTTAGCCCACATAATACAAAGTTAAATACATGCATGAATATAAAGATTGAAATAAATGCAGACTGTACCATCTGAAAAAGAGGAGTGACTGAATAAAATGTTACCTCCAGTTTGACCAGCTTCAGAGTCCCATTCTGTTTGACTCAAGTAGGCAATCAATTTATCATATTTGTAATCAAGACATTTCTTGTTATATTTTTCAAGCAGTTTGTTGTTCACCAGTGAATACCGTTTCACTGGTGTACCGAGGCTTTCATCATCCATAATAGCACATACTGACTTAAGAGTCATATTTAATGATAACCCTTCAAACTGACGATTGTCACCATTATATTGTGCTATTCCGGCTAAATTCCCTGCTAAAGTATCATAGAGGTTTGACACATCATTCTTCTCTAAAACATCAATTGGGTCACATAAACTGAAAGCAAAAAGTAAGTTTCAACAGGAGTACAGTTAAGTTGTCAATACTTTATCCTTCTTAGGTCCTAATACTTTACTGGGCACTTCAATCCTAAACAGTAATTTACCACATATACCTGTATAATGAATGTACATTTTAAAAAAAAAATTAGTATCTGAAAGTTTCAGTGCATGAAACATGTGAATAGCACTTTTCATAGAGGAAGAGTTTACGTTGCATTCAGGTCAAAATAATTACAGCTGCAGAATATTGAGAAAAATTTGTGTAAAAAAAAAGCATAATTCACAATCTTTTGAACACAGATGTGTAGTGTCAGATTTTCTCACATCTGACATACTTTCAGATCAATACTTGTGCAATTCATCCCTGTTACTTACTTGAACAGTTTATTCACAATCTTATGGCCAAATGAATCCTTCAATAGCATGCTCAATTCTTGAGTAGCATGTCTAATAGCAGCAACACAAAAAAGATTATACATGGCCAGATCATCTTGAACAACTCTGTAATACTCTGAAACAAATGTTAAAAATATCATGAACTAACACTTGAAGTCTTAATATTTTCAGAATATAGGGTACAATATTCTTTGAGCTTCTGTACTCACTCAACTGACGATACAGTTCACCCATGCATATTTCATGCACCCAATGTTTCTCGTACTGATTCTTATACTAAATCATAATTCTTACATCGTCGATTTTGAATAAAAATTATATATACAGTCACCTCTGCACTCATTGCTAAGTAGTTGCGAGATAATCTCCTAAAAATCTGCCAACATTGCACAACAGTCACGTGAGCATTGGACACTCTTCACGGCAAGTCATTTGTGTTCAGCCTGATGAGGGAGTAAGGAAAAATGCGCTCATTTCGCTTCTTGTTGACACATTGAATGTGCTGAAAACTGTGTGCTAAACATGTTTGTGTTGTTGTTCGACCACTATTCTGCAGTAGCAACTGTTTTACATTTATAAATTGTAGAAGAGCCACCATGTCTGGTAAGAGAAATGAATATTTACTTCAATCCCCTTTACCAAAAATCCATATAAATTGGAAACTTACATTGATGGAACAATAAGAAAACCTGAAAATTTACACAAAATACAAAAAATTTTATCAAAAAGAGCACAAACCTAAGTCTGTATATAGTTAACTCCAAAAGGTATACCTCTGAAGTCTGCCTTTGCTAACAGGGGTGCACTGGCTGACACAGCTCCATGAACTAGGTGAGGATACTTGGCTCGCAGCCAAGCAGCAAGGGACCCTGAATATGAGCCCCCAAATGCTATCCACTTGGTTCCTTCAGGCACTTCATACTTGACTGTCATGGCTTCGATAAAGTATGCAAGGTCTGCAAGGGCCTGTTCACTGCTCAGGTAAACCAAATTCCTTGAACTCAGATCCCTGTAAAGGAGCGATGTGTATCAGCCCTTATACAAAATTTCATACATAAGCTAAAAAAGTCCTAGGAATATGGAGAAAATTACAAAATGAGGAACTTCACAATTTGTACTGTTAATGAAGTTTTACTAGAGGATGAGATGGGCAGAGCACGTAATACACATAATAGAAGAGAAATATATACAAAATGTTAATTTGAATATATAAAGTGAAAAGACCACTGAAGACCTGGACACAGAATGCACACATCTTACAGAAATAGGACGGCATGTTTGCAGGAAATGATAGCACCCCTACTGGTACTGACAGCAAGATTACATAACCACAAATAAATATGGGTTACACCATGTTAAGTTGCGTGCATGTCATAAACCTATTCCCTTCCCTGTACCAACCACACAATACTGAAGTGTAAGTGGAGGATATATTTTATGAAAATAATGCCACAAGTGTGTGACATACCTATTTAAATGACCGAAAAGTGTGATTAATATGGGTAAACATGATATTATGTGATTTATGTCTAAAAGAACAAGCAAATTACAACACCAATGAGAGGTTAGCTAGTCTGTGACAGATCTTATGTCTCTGGCTAATAGACAGAGTGGTGCAGTCGAACAGCAGTATGTTCTGTAGAGTGTATAATTCTGTATCTCAGCACATAACCATTTACCTTGGTTCAGATATATGTGTAATTAAACACTGAACATCACTGACCTTATAGGGTGTATGTTCTTATTCCAAACCATATTGTGATTTCATTCAAAAACTGAAAAGCATATTAAAATTAAGGCCTGAATATTGTCTCTTTATTACCTATATCTGAAAAGTAACACTTATCAGAAAATGAAATGATCAGCTGGCATGCAGATTAGAGGGAACACAATATTAAGAATTCACAATAGGTCTCAACTCAGTATCTGGACTTTGACATATAAGATACCTAATAGGCAAAATAATGCATATGTTTCTGGTTTACTCACTGACCTTGTGGGGTGACTTGCACCATAATATCGATGTTCTAACATGAAGCAGAGAGCATTATAACGTTGAGCATACTCGATCCACTGTGATGTAACCATCCATATAGGATCTGCAGTCCCTTCACCACCAATCATAAGGAACACTGGACCACCACGGACATAGAAACTGGCATTGGTGAAGTATCTCTAATAAAGACATTATATATAACACATCTTTCTGATGTGAGGTACATTACATAGTAATATGACTAACATGCAAGACAAAAACAAGCAATTTATAAATTCTGGCACCTGAAGTTTCATTCCATCATGTGAGACTTCACACAAATGTTTGTACAAAAATACAAAATTGTTTTTCACACACTCATAACAGAAAGTTTAAAAAAAATTTCTGTGGGTCTTAATACAGTGTGTTTACTGATAAAGTTGAATGCCAACTGTCACTTACCAACTCCCAATAAGATCTGCATGACTCACCATCAAGCACAAAGCTTTCCTAGTATGAGTCAAGTATCATAGGGCTTGGCAATGGGGAAATAAAAAAATGCACACTAAATTTAGCCAGAAAATCTGAATGAAAGAGACTACTTGCCTGATTTAGGCATATATTGGAGGAGAACATTAAAAAGGATCTAAAAGAAATAGGTGTGATGGCATAGTCTGGGATGAAGTGGTTCAGGAAAGAACCTTGTGCTAGGCTCTTGTCGACACAGTAATGAACCTTTGGGTTCCATAGATGGCATGAAAATCTTAACCAGCTGAGTAACTATGAGCTTCTCAAGTACTCTGCCATATGGAATAAATCAGTTGCTGAGTGAGTTAGTTAGTTACAGATTATGACGATGATGTGATGTTATCCACTTGCTGTTCACTAATATTAGTGCACTGTGCTAGAGGTGTGCAAACTACAACAAATTCAAAAGACTTCAGAACTTTAGCACAAAAGCACTGCACTAACTGAGTGTCCTCTCTACGCTGCATACTCCAAATAAAAATTATGTTCTTCACCTGTTCCCATGTATGTAGGACTGTTGGATTGAAATGATCCAACAGCTGACGGAACCATTCAGCAGTTGTATTGGGTGCAGCTTTAGGTGACCCTAACATTCCACCATGTCCTCGTCCCCTGTGGAACATCGTCCATCCTTCTAATCCATCCAGTAGCATAATGATGGATACACTCACAACAACGAAGTGTATGTTCTTATTCCAAACCATATTGTGATTTCATTCAAAAACTGAAAAGCATATTAAAATTAAGGCCTGAATATTGTCTCTTTATTACCTATATCTGAAAAGTAACACTTATCAGAAAATGAAATGATCAGCTGGCATGCAGATTAGAGGGAACACAATATTAAGAATTCACAATAGGTCTCAACTCAGTATCTGGACTTTGACATATAAGATACCTAATAGGCAAAATAATGCATATGTTTCTGGTTTACTCCCATTTTAAGGTGAGAGATTCATAGATCAAAACTATATCAATGAATTTACAAATCAAAGTGGAGACACAAATAGCATTTTGAAGGGAGGGTTTCAGTGAAAATCCAGTTTACTTTATATGGAGGGAACTCCCTTCTCAACATTAAAAAAAACATTTAGTAATAACACACACTGAAATCTAAATAGAAAATTTAGAACAAAAGTAATCTTAATATGAAGAGCGCAATAGTTCATTACTTCATAGAAATGATCCAATTCTCATACACATACCTCATGACTCGTTTCATCATTACCACTGTCACGCTTTAGAAATTACAATTTTCATCAATGATCACTTTCTACCATTAAACGCTACAAATAAATTGCTTATTAAACAAGTCAGAAAATGTATGCATAATGTAGGAACTCTGACTCATTTGCCAGAATCTGACCTCCGACCTTCAACCAAGGTGGCTCTGAGCTTACCCACCCTGTCACTTCAGGTCACAGAAATACATGTAGGTCTTAATGTGCACATTTTTGTTGTTTGATAGTAACCAAAATTAAAATATGTTTTAATAAAACATTCAATGTCTACCACACTACATGGCACAACATCCCAGAAGAGAGCCATTTTCATACTTGTCACCATGAGAACTTAAAATCTCACAATATGTAACTTATTTTTCTCTTTTCATACAGAAGCATAAGCTAGTGATATAATGTCCCTATGCCTTTATCTTTTTTTTTCTTAACCTTTGAACTAACTGCCTGATCTTTTAATTTAACTTAGTGCAAAGGTCAAAAACAACATCATGCCATGGCCAAATCTTTCATTTATTACAGTCAGTGATACCAACATTATGGGTGTTCAAACAGGGATGTCAGACACACTTAAAACAAAAATTTATGTATTCCCCACCTCTTATATCTCTTAGATCCCTGTTTTCCTTAGCATTTAATTTTCAAATATTATTAACTTAAGAGCCTCCCATGAAGTAAGAGGTCATCCTTTAAAACCATATATAACAGATATATGACTTTTCCACCACCATAAAACACCATCTTTTGCAGCCATACATAATACCACAAAATGTCAAATCTGTATAAGACATAAGCTATGAGAAACAATTAAAACATTCAAACAATTAGGAAATACAATTCCCAAGGCAGTACAATGATAAAAACATTCTCTTGTTAGGATGGGGTAAGATAACATCACTGTGAAACTGCAGTCTGGCATCAAACACTGACAGATAAGACCTGGAAATAAACTGTGACACCTACTTCCTTCAAATAATTAATCTATATCGCAAGGCAAGGCAAGCAGAAACTATAAATAAACTGATAATTATGAAATTTAGTAATCCATTTCTATGCATGCTTTTCACTAATACCATCTGTGACTACATTAAATGTGTTGTTGCTGCACCATTACCTACTTTGCAACTGTTATGCGTAAAAAATGTTTCATACACATATTGATGCCTACAATATTCCCTCACACATGCCACATATCTAGTCTGAATGGTTCAGTAGTTACTACCAACAAACTAAATGATAAAATATACAGACTTCACACAACTGCCACACTGCTGTACAATCTACATGACATTACCTTAATAGAAGTGTTATTGTCTTCTGAGATCTATTACTACACAAAACTTCAGGATCTTACATTCCTATATAGCAATGCACCCACCTCATATATTCATACAGTCCCACTGGTCTTTATGGCATGGTGTTAAACTCTATCAACATTTCAAAAGTTATTTCAAAGGGACACAGACAAAAGCACATCAATGGCATTATGCCAGAAGGCCATATCAACTTACTTGCATAATTAGTGATTATGATCTATCAACATAAAACAGTGGGATGTCATGATAGAACATCACAATGCTACTCTATACAGAGACATAATTACATTTGGGCATATGAACACTAATAACTGACCTCTGTCAAACCAAACAGACATAAAAATTTAATCTCCTGCAAATCAGCTATTTTGTTGATGCACCCATCTGGCATGATTCAATAAAAATTGTTCGCCATCTAGGCATACACTTTCCAATAGTTCCTTGCTACAATACAGAAGCTGAACTATGGACTGGATTAGCGGTTTCGATGAGAATGGAATTTTTTTCCTCTGTTACAACACCCAGATCACCCCAGAGGCCCACCCAGTCTCCTATACAATGAGTACCAGGGTTATTTCCTTTGGAATAAAGATGCTAGGGCATTAAGATAACCAATAACCCCCATCAAGCACAAAGGTTAAAAATGTGTGGAGCTACCCCTCAACTTCCCAAAACAAACTATACTACTTATAATATTAAAACTTACCTCTTATAAAAAGAAAATAATATTAATAACTACTGATCTACTTTTGTATCGACGATCATGTCACGAAACAGATACTACAATAATTCACTTCGCTGGGCATCACGTATCAACATAACACACAAGTGCGGCCAATAAACGGTGGGTACAAAGGTCACAGTATGATATCTATTTTAGGCGTGCTTCTCGCACAGGAAATCCATCAAACATTAAGACATCATCGCGACGCAACGTACAGTGTCTTTGGTTGAACTCACAATTGTGCCAACATAACACCACAATATTCCTAAATTATGTTTAAAAATACCATTATCAAATTAATTTAACAGTAGGCCCAACCAAACGAAACGAAATATAAGATTTTGGAGACGAAATGATATTTTGAACTGTGTGTGTTTTATTGTAATACTTCTTTTGCTGCAAGGTATTTCAACTCTGGGACATCTTCGGGGTATTTCTCCGGTCAGTAATTCACTCATTACAACATTCATTAACTTGTCTGTGTTCATACACAGGGATTTTCTTGGTCTAGTTACAGTAGTTTTGAGTTTCTTAAGTTTTCCTGAGTTTTGTTCGATCTCTTTCAGTTTGTATTTATGCTGATTTGTGTGCTTTCATATGGTTTCGTTAAGATTGCATTCCTTTGCCATTAGAGGTGGGATCCCGTCGAGATACGTAATCATCTATTTCTGTGCCAAACAATGGCACTAGCGTCAATGTCGAACATTACTGGATGAAGATGGGATGGAATGGTGACATTTCAGGTTCTCACGTCGGCGAGTATGAAGATGGCTGTCTTCTGAGATGCCTTTCCGTGTAGTCCGGTAGAAACTGGTCGACTTCTTTTTGAGATGTTTACTGCCTCGCCATCAGGACACAGGACAAGACACAAGGACAACATACATTATTATATAAGACTTTTGGCCTGAAAGCTGTACTCAGGCAACATGGGGATTAGCAGTCGCTTCCGCTATCCTTTGGAGTCCGTAACTTCCGTGTTTTTCTTTCAGGATGTGCAGCGAGCAACAAGGAAGTAGCATTATTACAGTCTGTAATCGTAAGCTCTCAAAATCAGCAAAGTATTTCCTTTGTTCTCAGAGGTTTTCTATACAGTCTGCCACTATAATACAACACAAGTGTTTTCCTTACACAACACTAAGCCTATTCGAGAATTTTGTCTTATTAACTCTGTGGTAGAGTTCTTGAGCAGCTAAAAGTCGCTAAGTTGTTGGAATACATTTTCCGTTGTTTATGTAAGACGAAAATTCGTTCTCATATTCACAAGAGACCACCACCTCGACCTGCTTAAAGCCAAATGAATTTGGTCCACATCCTTAAGCCATATTTCTATAAAATCCCTTTTTAGGTATTCTTCACACCTTATGGTCCCGTTCATGTCTGCCTGTCACGTTCTTTGCAGAAATAACGGAATCTACAACATAAGGTCATTGTTGAGGCACACTGTCGATTTTCTTTGCTTTCTTCAGGTAAATAAAGAGCTAGTCCACTGAAATAGTCCATGGTTGCCTTCTTCCAAATCCTCATCTACACGCCATTTAGAATCATTTTGTATACTGCTGCAACTCTGCAGCTGAAACAGTTTACGAAATTATAAATATCAGATCCGAGAGAAGATGTTTTGAGCAACGCTGAATCGTGAACGCGTTCTGGCTGCTTAATCCTTTCTCTCACAGAACAGAAGGAACGAAATAAGGAAATTAATCAACTGCGTGATCTACATCCTACTACTATGTTTCGTGTGGCTTTTCCTGGGTGATCTGAAGTTATTCCGTTATGTCTTCTACCTCTCCAGGAGCTATCAGTCCGTACAAGAGATTCAGGTTTGGAAACTGAAGATATTTTGTGATGACGAAAATGCTCACAAATATGTGTTGTTTCGAAGTCATAAGGTCAGCATTCGCTCAATGGAAGACCACGAGACAAATGGGATATATAACCTCGATATATAATATAACCGTCCTTGGTTATTCGTTTGCCGTATAGTATAACCGTCCTTGGTTATTCGTTTGCCTCGGCTAGCTCGGGTGCTCAGGGTCGTACACGGGGATCGGATGTATGACGAACGGATAATGATTCACTGTTAATCCAATAATAACTTTATTATGTATTTATTTCAAAACACCAGCCCACAAACGTCCCAACCTCTACCTTCAAGAAACTTTCCACGACCCTTTTACCTTCAAGAACTTTCCACGACCCTTCTGCAACTGCCCAGACACCCTTCCTGAACACCACTCCTTGCTGCTGGCTTTCTCCCCCCAAAAAAGGACCACATGTGAGGCCTCCCCCAACTTTCTCACTTTACAGCCGATCCTTTGTTTTTGACGAATTTCGGCCAGCTCGCCCTTGCAGCGTTGCCTGGACGGTTACAATAATTTGTGACTAGCAGTAGCCTATTAAGCCACTATAACTTCATTCAGAAACTAAATTACAGCGCCGTCAGTCTCATTCCGAGACTCCGAAGTGTCAGACTATGACAAATTTTAAAATAGAGGTTGGAGTTTAGAGTATGTTGAAAATGGCGAGACGAGACTTGTATGAGGTATATTCTCGTCTCGACTGGTTCCTCTTGAAGGCCATAATCCTGCAGCGGGCATATTAATATTCACTTTATCTTCTATCAACAGCTGTTGCTTTACGCAGATTGCACGAAGCTGATAGGGTTTACGACAGACCGATATTTCTTTATGCATTCATTGACTTCCGTCAAGCGACATATGCGAACATTTCAAGACATTGCAAACTATAGAAGTTACCTGTTACAAAATTAACATGATTTTATATTTCAATTGAACGTGTACAGTGAAGCTAAATATATAATTAAGCGCGGCGTCGTCTTACAAAAGAAATAGAAATGATACAAAATGGAAGTCTTATTAAGAGCTGTAGTATTAAACTGAATACGGTCAATTTTAACCGAATGAAAGTGGTTCGTTAACATTTGACGGGAAATAAATCAATGTCCGCTCATGGCTCGAGGAAAGTTAACGAATCAACTGCGGAATAGGCGGTCTCCAGCCCCAGATTTGAACGCGGAACCTATCTAATACGACGCAGGAGTACACTCAGCTGCGACTTCACGATGTCTTGAGGAGGTGGAGTAAAAGTAGACAAAAGTAGTGAAGGACTAGTGACTACAGCCTAAAAGAGCGGAGGCGTCCTTAAGCAACGCGCGTACACAGCCACAGCTTGCAGCACGAGGACACAATGAGACACGATATGATGGTCGTAATAATATTAACCGCATGAAGTACAATCCGTCTTAATAATATTTGGTAAAGAGTGCAAATTATGGAGCGCCTCGTTTTTCAATTTGCTCCAGCCTCACGTCACTTGCTTCCTCTTTGGTCCAGATATTCTCTTAAGCACCCAGTTCTAAAACATTCAGACTGTCATCTTCCCTTAATGTGAGCCACAACATTTCACACCCAAATGAAACAACACGTACAATTATGATTTTGTATGTTCTTAATCTTGGTGGTTATAGACAGCAGATTGATTGTAAGATTTGAGGTTTTCACAGCGGTGAGTTGAAGATTTCTGTCTTCTGGGTTGTTGCGCTGTGTAGTCTGGTCGATGTTTACCAAAGATTCTGAGGTCATACTGCCTCCATCATCAGGGTATGAAGATTTCTGTCTTCTGGGTTGTTGCGCTGTGTAGTCTGGTCGATGTTTACCAAAGATTCTGAGGTCATACTGCCTCCATCATCAGG